CCTGTTTTTGTTAAGAACACTGTGTGAGAACTTTTTTTGTTGTTGGCCTCCTCTGCTCTACCAGTGCTGGGTTGACCTATTCATTCAAATGGTTGGTAATGACTGGCGGAGGTCCATCTACGTTCTGTGTATGTGTAGTTGGGTGTTGTTTTTTTGGTCGGGACACGTTTTTAACTGGCAATGACGATAGCTAGGATAGGAACCTTGCGCTTGACATTACTGGGGAAAATTCCTTTGATGACTAATATTCACCTCCGTCAATTAAGAGCGTGCAATGACATCTTCTCTTCCCCCTTCCCCCCACCCCATTGTTCTATACTATCTTCAGCACTTACAATTTATTCTATCCTCAGCACTTGCAATTCAAACCCGTTTCAATGGTTTTCAACCCTAAAATAACCACTGACTCATTTGGCTTTCAAATGGTAGAAGTGAGTATGTGAAGTATGCTTAACCACATGGGTGTTTATGCCTCTGGGGGAGGAAGGGAAAGAATCTCACTGACACAATTAACCTAGTTTTATCTTTTTGTCCCAATTTAATTGTGTTTACAATGTGGTGTCAGTAAGATGGCTATTTGTTAAATAGCATTCAATCATTCTTTTCTCAAGTTCTGCCAATTTTTTTTCTCTCCAATAGAAGCAGCCACTTTGAAATAAAGAAGCATAAAAAAGGGTGATTTCTTTTGCTTTGCTTGAGAAAACAATTGTGTTGCTATTATAGTCCTTGCATTTGATACCATGTCTTTAACATCAAAAGTGCGTGGGGAACTTGCTGTGTGTGATGTGTGACTGTATTTGTAAATGATTGCGATACACAACTTGCACTCAGCAAAGTCCTAAGTACAGTCGGCCAAAACTGCTGAGAGAAACCCCCTTCTTTATTTCCCCTTATTCTTTGTCCGTATGAATAATGTAGATTAATTTTATCATGACACGAGGAAGGTCTCCAGATTCACTTGACCTGCTTCCAGATTCCCAGTACTATTCTGTTGACTTTATGATGATAAGACTTGTAGAAAATCGCAAGGCTACTTTTGAACTTCATTTGAAATTTTTCCTGGTTTATCACCACAATGAACTTTTGACACTCCAGTGCAGTGCTGGAGGGAACATTTCATTGTTGGAGTTGTTGGCCTTTGGATAGGACATTAACTTGAGATCCTGTCTGCCTGTTCAAGTGGATGTTAAAGATCCCATGGCACGAGTTGGAGAGAAGGGAGTTGCTTTGTAAAAAAAAAAAAAAAAAAAAAAAAAATGGAGGCTGGCAGCAATTACCTACAAATAATCACTACACTTTCCTGGAACTTTATTCAGCTGGTTGAACAGATTGGGTGGAATCCATGAGCGTGCAGATTCCACATGATCCTGCATGGTCTGTGAACTTCTGAAGTGCTTCCAAGATGTTATGATGTGACGAATATATCAAATCCAAGAGATCTAAATTTACCGCTGTGTTCCTTTTCCTGCACGATGTATGCAAAATATCTCAGCAGAAGATTTCAATCAAATGCCAATTGAAAGCCCTAATCAGATCCACACGTTTATTGAAAGGCAAATATTCTCTTAAGCTGTGAAGCAGCTGCCCAGTGAACTCCTGTTTAACCACAGACTCCGTTGGCTCCTCCACAGTCACATCTTTGTGATGTGCAAATGGGTCATTGGGCTGACCAGCTGTCCTTAGCGCCCTGTCCCTCACTTCATCCACTGGAAAAGCTCGCAGCAAATCCTCGTTTGTGAATGAGGGCTTCATTGAAGCTTTCGTTTATACGATTTGAGTTGCAAATCGCTCTTTGGATGCCAAGATTTCCAAATTACCCATGATTTTGCTATCTATATAAACATTCACAGTGTTCCCTTCAAGCTGTCCTTAATTGAAGGCCAATGGGGAGTGAGTGGTACGATGTCCTTCACCTGTTTTTTTTATTCTTTCTGGCTTTAAGGATAAGTGTTGACTGCCGCTGGCCACACTTTGACTAAGCATTGATAAGGCTGAGAAGAAAATCGTACTCGTGCCGAGGCTTTCAGTTCATCCTAAAACTGCTTTCACCATCAGTGACCACCAGTGCATTACTCTGCAGTATCGCCCTGTTTATCATTGCAAAGTTCAGAAGGACACAGCCTACAATTGACTGTTCTCCAAGTCAAGCTAGTCAGAAAACCCTTTATGCTTCACAGGTGAAGTGAAGGCTCTTGAAGAAACCAAAGGGACTCTGCGATGGAGTTCCAAAGGGTGGAGGCAGAGAGCCCGAAGGCCCAAGAGTGGGGTGGGCTGAGCTATGAATATGGAGCCCGCTGAGCGGAGAAAGCGGACAAGTCGATATGGAAAACGCAGTAAAAGCCTCAGAAGTACTTTGAGATGTTGTGATAAGGAGCTATGTCAAATGCAAGGATTATGCAGTTGTGAGGCTACACGTAGCTTTACCCCCATCAAGAACAACGGCAACAAAGTAGTGTTTCCTAGGACCCAGTGGAAGCTCTTTGCTGTTTTCCACCCATACCATCTCTTAATATTCCAGGCATACAGTATTCTCTCTGTCTCTTTCCATACTGCTGGAGAGCTCATCTCATGAGAAGACGTGTGTGTTTTGCTGATCAGTCAGGTTGCACTTGTTCTATATTTGGCATTTCCTCAATCTATTTACGTTACTTCATCTCGTCAGAGTGCACTCGGTTCAGTGCAGAGAGCTATCCTTTCAGTGATGTTGCAGTCACAGTCATTTTCATTGCACATTAATCTCGAGGAAACCGGTGCGTTTTGTGTTTAATATGATTTCTAAAAGGCCAATGGAGTAGCCGTGTTTCTGATGGGATTGCTTAATAGATGTAGTGGGGCGCAATATTGTCCGATGGTGATGTACAGGGTAGGCTGGAGACTTCAGTGTGTACGCAATGCCGTTGAAACGTTTCAGAGCAGTGAGAAAGAACCCTTGCTGTGTTTCTAGGCCAAAACTAATACCGTTTATGCTAATGAGCCATTTGGCATCACGAATTTTGTGACGTTTAAACTGTAGGAGTTTGTGTAACCTTGGAAACCACCTCATTTAAGATCCTCTTTATTGTATCTTAATTCACAGGCTCCTTTCCTCTTCTGTTCACTGTGTAAATCAAGAGACTTGTTGTGCAATCTCCTCCTTTAACGGTTTGTTTCCCAGGACTGTTAAACTACATTCTAGGCTTGGAATTGCCTTTTATCATGCATTCTGCAGCACCCCTCCGCCCAACCCCACCATTTAAACAGTTACCAAACATAAAACTGCAGTCAAGTCACCAATGGAAACTTCAGCCAAAATAAAACCCGCAAGAAGTAAAATAGTCATAGAATATTCCCCTTAAAGAGAAACCTTATCCAACCCACTAACAAAATATGCAGTTTCTATGCTTTTTATGATAACTCCTGTGAAACGCTTTGAGACGTGCTCCTGATGTTAGAGAGCTATATCAAATGTAACGGTGATCGTTAAATGGCTTTTTTAAAATCTTTCTTTCCTCCTCTCTCCCCCCTCCCCCCCAAAAAAAGCAGAGTGCTCCACTATTCTCATACATCCCTACCATTCCCTGTCTGTTTCCCAGCTTTCTTTTCATCTCTCTTTTCCCCCCCTCATCTCATCTCACAAGGCAGTCTGATCCCTCAGAATATCTCAGCTCTGAACTACCAGCATGGTCTACAATTCCCATCTCGGATTCAGTGGTCTGGTTTATGCAATGCCTAGATTCCTGACTTTTGCCTCTGGGACTGCGCTCACTCGCTGGGAGTACAGAGGTGCTTCCACCCCTTGATCACCACACTTGCATTATCAGTCTAATGCTGACTGAGTAAATGGAGCATTAAGCTGGCTGTAATCCCAGTCAGCATATTTTAGTAGTGCTAGTAATAGCAATCTCATCTGGTTTAGTTACTGTATTCACCATTGCCTGTCAAAAGGTGGGAGGGGAAGAGATGTGTGCAAATTGGCCATCATGTTTGCTTACAAATCCAACAACAACTCGCACTACTACCCTTCACGCAGGGTAGTATCTCGGAGAGCTTAACAGTGGTAGAGACTGATGGCAAGCCAGTCACTAAACGTGGCAGCTATTGAGCGTGAAACTCTTTTGAGATTTACTATATCTGGTGCAAGCATTACAATTGAAAAGTCCCGTTTTCCCCCCCCCACCTCCTGAATCCCATTTTCCCTTCTGGGTAATAAACCCAGTTTCCGCCATTCAACAGAGAGATGGAAAAAAATCTTTAAATTTACTTTTACGTCTGATCCAAACCGTCTATCTGCGTGCATGTTCACTTCCAAAGTCTCTCCTTCCCATATCCCTTATATTTATTAATTAAATTTATCTTCTCTTCACCCCCAACCCCCCACTTAATATCTATTTTGGTACCACTTGAGCTTGGTTGACTTGCTTTTGCAGGATTTGCAGATTTCAGACTTCCAACCCACTATTTTCTGAGATGTGGAATCTGGAGGGAGATTCCACTGATCATGGAAACCCTCCCACCAATGCTTACAATACACAGTTGCTACACTTCACAGTAATTCCTCTGAAGCCCTTTGAGAGATCCTCCCAATCTGAAAGCTGCTATATCGAATACAAGACTATACTAATCTTTGTTATAATCCTTGCATTTGATACAGCACCTGATCACGTTGTCGAGACATCTCAAAGCTCTTTACAGGATTTTACTGCAAAGTGTAGTGATTGTGTATTGGTAGGCAAACGTGGCAGCCATTTTGCGCAAAGCAATTCCTGTAAACGGCTGTGAAGCGAGTGACCAATTTTATCAGGTGCCTTGTTATCCTGTTTTTTTAAAAACTCCCTTCTTTTTCGAATAACGCTGTGAGGATCTTTCATGCCCACCTTCACGGGCAGACTGGGCCTTGGTTTAATGTCTCATCCACAGGACTCCACCTCCGATGATGTACCAGCGCTGGTATCGAGCTAGAATATTGCTGATTATAATCAATATTAATCATTAATATCTTTCTGTTCCCATTTTCCAGGCTTATGAAGGTTCTTTGAGCTGCCAACATGGCCTCCTCTGATCAATGGGCGTCTGCCAACTGAAACAATGGCCCAGATATCCAGCAGAAGTGGATTCAAACAGCCGGCTGCTGGCATGCGAGCCGTGGGCAGAGAAGAGGCCCTGCAGATGGAGACAGAAGCCCTGGCTAAGCTGCAGAAGGAGAGGAGCCAGGGCGCCAAAGACTGCCTAACCCGCTCCCTTGGCAGCGGCCACCTGAAGGCCCAGGCGGGGGTCCGGCAAGAGTACGACCTGATCCACTTTCCGGAGGCCGAGGGCTCGAACCAAGAGGCCGAGCGAGTGCTGTCCGACCTGGACATCAAGAATCTGACTGAAGCCGAGCTGGAGAAATTACTGCTCGACAGTAGTTTTGGTCCCAAGAGCTGTTCCCGTCCGCGCACTCTCCCCAACGCCCCTCTTCTCAGCTTGTCCTTTTCCGGTCAGCTGTACGGGCAGCCGGCTTTCCCTGCGTGTCCGTGGGCCGCGTCCACAGTGGGCTCTCGGGGGCCAGTGTACCAGGCCCCGCAGCCGCCCCTGAGCTTCCCGAAGCAGCCAGACGCCTTCCGCAATGGTTTCTACCCGGGCCAGTCGGGCTTCCGGCCCTTGGAGCCCCTTTACCTCAGCCTCCAGGGGCACCGCTTCGTGCCGTTCCCTCGCCAGCCTGCCGTGGCCGTGCAGGTGCCAGCCCTACCAGTCTATACGCCCGTCACCCCCGAGCTGGCTAAGCTGTATGACCAGATCGCCAGCACCTCGGAGTATCTGCGGAACAGCAAGTCCAGCGGGGACCTGGAGTCAGCTGGCACCATGGCCCCACGTCTCGCCACCTCGCCCGGCGCCAGAGAGGCCAGCAGCATGTTTGACTGGCTGGACCTCGATCCCCTTAGCAAGCCGCGCCTGGAAGCCCCCAGCCCCGGGGAGGGCGGCGAGCGAGAGGGGCCAGGGGCGGTCACCATCGCCGGTGACCCTTGGGAACAAGTCTTGCAGAGACAGGATGACACACAGCCTGCCTCCGCCACAGCGCGCCAAAGAGCGACCACACAGCCTAACGGGAAGGTCACCTCCGGAGCTTCGGTCACTCGCAGTTTGTCGCTCAACCTGCGCTCGACCAACTCCCAGCTCTCACACCGAGCCTCAGGGCACGGCACCAAGACTTCCCAGGTAATGTCCTGCCACTCGTTCTTTCCTGTGTAAAGTCTAAACAGTTTGTGTAAATCGAGTTGTCGTGTGGTTCAGCTCTGCAGCGATCACCCCCTCCACCATCCTCGCCTTCACTGTCTCCCCCTCTCCCCAGAGGATTAAGTTCCAAACCTTCGCCTTTAAAAACCTCCTCCCTACCTCTGCAACCTGCTACCACCATACCATCCCTCCGCTCTGTAGATACTGGCCTGCCCCGCATCCACCGCCCTGCCTGCTCCACCATCAGTGGTTAGGCTCTCTGTCCTTCTGCCCCCGCCCTCTGGAATTCCATCCCAGGGCCCCTCCCCCTCAGGTCCTCCTTGAACCTTGAAGTCCAATCTCAAGACCTTCTTCTTTGACTGTGCCTACGGAAATTCTCTTCCCCCACCGCAACTCCCAACCTCGAGTGCAAATCCTCACTGTACAGCATGAAGGGGGGAGATTTGTACACTATTGGGGATGGTGTCCCTTTTAATTTTTCCCCTTGTCTAAGCTGTGTTAGTCAGAGACACTCTGAGGAGCTGACAAGTTGAGTTGGCTTCTGGTTCCCTGACGGAGCTCAGTTTGGGGTTAGTGAATAATTTCACTGTGTTCCTTAGTGTGAGGAAGGCCATATCCCGCAGGAGAAGTGGTTTTCTCTAGGTTCCTACTTTCACATTCTCTGCTTGCCACATGTTCCTGCATCTCACAAAGGACCATCAACAATTGGCTCAGTCAGCAACACCCCTGCCTCTAGGTTATAGGGATGTGGGTTCAAAACCCACGTTGGGACTTTTGAGCTCATGGTCTGGGCAGACGCTGAAGTGCCAAAAGGTGCTGATTTTTGAATGAGACAAACAGGTATTCCAACCCCTCGGCTGGAGGTCTCATGGCAATGCTTGTAAATGGAAGGGAGGTTTCCCTAGCGTCTTGGCCAACAGATTAATTGGTTGTTTATAGGAACACTCTGTGCACAAATTAGCTGTTGCGTTTCCCATCAAGTGCACTTAGCAGCAATTTGCTGTGAAACCCCTTGAGACATTTTGACTTCATGGCCATGGTATCAAACACAAGGATTATCTTATTGGGTTTATATTTCTGTCTGTCTTTCCCTGTGGCTCACACTGCTGTTTACAAAGTACCTGCATCTGTTTGGATTTGACTGCACTGTTCATGCTGAAAGGGACCACTGTTTTCTGGCTGTTTTTTTTGGAGGGGGGGGGGTTGTGAGGGGGCAGATTTCCTTGAATGAAGTCTTAATGGCTTGTGGTTGCCAACGCTGCCCAGTCTGTGGGGTGGACAGACCACCTGGTTTCTGGGGCCACCCTGTGGTTGGAATAGCTGCCAGGAACACCATGTGAGTGGTTTCAGGATAACCAGCAAGACTTGAATCTTGTAGTGCTTAATTGGCGGAGCTTGATGCCAAGCCACGGAGAGAGTGGGGAAGGTGCCTGTAGGCTTGGTCATAGAGGAAGCTCTTCAGATGTGATCTGAAGACTGGCCAGGAGGAAGCAAGGCGGAAGGGTTGAGTCTGAGAGTTTCGGGACATGACAGCTGAAAGCTTAGATTCAACTTCAATTAAAACAGTGACTTTTCGATACCTACTAAACTTCACTAAGGTGGTTGTAACACCACCCACAGGAAACGGGACAAGCTCAATGGGAGGAATGTTAGTCAGGGGTGGTTGGAACCATTTCCACCTGTTTGTGCTGGCCACCTGATGGCTGCTGATGTTGGAAGGGATGAGACTGAAGGCTCGGTCACTAGGGACAACCGCTCTGATCCCTTCATGTAACTGCAGTAAAGGCTGTGCTGGTGAGGAGGTGAATGGGGTGGGGTTGTATTTTTGGGGAGTTTAAAGAGTGGCATTTTGTTTTTTCTGCACGTGATCTCCTGTCAGGTGGTGCAACGTTTCCACTAGCTCCTGACTAACATTCCTCCCATTGCGTTTGTCCCGTTTCCTGTGTTGCAACCACCGGGTGAAGTTCAGTACGTTTCAAAAATTCAATGCGATGGGTGACACTGAATCCTGGGTAAACTTACTTGTTGGTGGGTGGGGAGGAAATGTATCTGTGCAGCTGCCCCCAATTGTCTCAAAAGTGCCTCTTTGACTACTTTCGGCCATCTTTCCCTCCACACCCTCTTGGACCCTAACCCCCTGCTCGGTTACATAGCCAGTGCTGTGAATGTACTTTGGGATTTCATGCTGATGTGAAAGACACAATATAAATATAAATTGGATTGTAATTTTTGCCTGGTGATTCTAGGTGAGTCTGTTTTTTAAAATCAATGTTTTTGTTTCCAGTTTTTTTTCTTGATTGATTCATAGCGTAAATCAAGAAACATTCAGTTAATAAAATTTATCTTGCTGGCCGTCCAAAAAGGTTGACCGCCACTGTGTTAGAGAGACGTGAGGCGAACCTCTTGTTTGATAACAGGGGAATCTCTCATTACAACCATACTGAGCAGCGAAACAGCAAGCAAGTGGAATAGAATATCCTTCTCTCTCTCTAAGAATAAATCAAATGTTAAAAATCCTTGGCCCTATTTAAGAAGAGAAGGGAGTTGTATTTGATCCTGGCCAACAATCTGCAAGCTAAAATTAGTCTTTCGCTTCAGGATTCGTTGCGGGACATTAACGTGCGCAAGTTGGCTGCCAAGTTCGCCTGCACGACAGAGTAAAACCTCTGAAGTGATTTGACATTCTGATGAAAGGAAACATTATTATCAAATCTGTTGATCTTGTATCCCTCCACAATGTCCAAAAAGGAAGTGAAACTAGTACACAAGATGACTTTCCGCAAACTCTGCTCGTGTCTCACTGCATTTAATGAGTCCAGAGCATTTGAAGCAAGCCTGTTCACTGTTGGTTTTTATTCTGTGCATTGCGCGCTGCGTGATCAAGGCTGAAAGCCTACAATAGCAGTCCCATTGTGCAACCTGCACATCCTGTCTCCTGCTGAACACGAGAAAAAAAGTTAGGAAATGAGCAAGCACCAATTGTTTAGCCAAACCACACTTTTCCTTTTGCAGACAGCACTTTATTTATTTTTTTTGACGCTGACACTGATTGCGGTATACTGTAACTCCTTTGACTTACAGAATGTCCTGGCCAATAAGGCTTGCCCCATCCAAATTCCCACACGCTGGGTTGAGGGCGATGAAAGCAGATCTTTGCTGTTTTGTGGGATGTTACTGGCAACCACACCAACTTGCATTTATATAGTGCCCCTCTTGCAGGTTGGCATCTCAGAGCGCTTCTTGGCACTGAAAGAGCGCCATGTTTTGCCAGCATAACCACAGAAATATTTGTTTTGTTGAGCAATCTGACGCTTTTGACATAATATATGTGTAGATTTATAATCACTGGCGCGATTTTTGAAATTGAGTCATTTTTCTATAGACCAGGGAGAGCAAGAAAGGAATGCATACGGTATAATTTATCGACTGCTTTCTTCTTTCCCCTTTCTTTCCCCCTCTCCACACACTCTGGGTTTAATAAACTTTATTTTAAGCTTGAACTGTACAACCTTTAAGTAAACGTATTCCCAATGTTGTGTTTGAGGCTTTGAGAGGAAAATAATAATAATCCTTGTAGTTGATATAGTGCCTTATCGCATTGTTGAGACGCCTCAAAGCGCTTCACGGGACATGTTGTAAAGTGAATTGATCGCGTGTTTTGTGGGCGTGGGGGGGACACTGTTGAGTCTGCGTGCAGTTTTGACGCAAACGCTGCCATACATTTGTGTAAATGGATCCTGAGTTCCACAGCGCTCTCGTCTGCTGCCTTTTTTGCTTAATGTAAACCGATTACAGGGGGCTTCTTTCTCTTCCCCTTTCCCCTCCCTCCGCGGGCTAGTTTCCACCAACCAGCGGCCTACATACACCAGCCTGAACAGACTAGATCGTTGCCGTGTTCCTGACCTTTGCTATTCCTACCTTCAGAGCTGGAGACTGACTAAGATACCAAGAGACTGGATCCTGCTCCCAGCTATCAAATCCCTCCCATTTGTTTTGGAAGTTGACGCTGAATTTCCTGTTGGCATTCTCAAGTGACAACTTGGCATGTGTCTGGCATAGTTGATGGAATATCCTCCCCCCACCCCCCAAACTTCTTTCCCCCCACCCACCTACCAGAAAAAGGTTTGGAATAAAAGCTGAAATGCGTCCGCTTCATGTGGCCAATTCTCAGAACGCATAGTCAAAGTAATTGTGATTCCCCGCACCCAGAGGAAGCCCACAAGAATGTTTTAGCTTCCTTCCTTTACAGTTCACAGGATATTGTTGCAATTCAGGACAGCGGTCCAAAATAACTGCTCAAGGTCTTCAAGAGAACCGGACAGTGTACAGAGGCTATGGGTTGTCCTCACCCAAACACTCCTTTCTTTAACCCCCTCACCCCCCCCTCATTCCAAAAGCCATAAATCTCTTTATCAGCAGCCACTCTCAGCTGTTTTGAATCCTGCTCTAATCTGAGTGAAGTGATTGCAGCAGTCAGGATGCTGCAATTGTCTCCAACCTTCCTCATGTGGGGTAAGTGGGAGGCTGGTCGGGGCTCCTGATTCTCCAGCAGCATTTCTATTGGAAATTGCAATGGGCGAGAGCTATGATATTCTCCTGTGGTCAAATGGCCTTATATTACGTTAATTATTTATTTTAATTATTTTATTTTAACATTTATTAATAATAATATATTATATATAAATAGTCTCCCACTTGAGGCTCACAAATAAATATTGTAACTTTACTTGGGACGAGATGTTTGCCTCCAAGGTACTGCTGATGACAGACCAGCCAATTTGGCTCATCAACAGGACCTGCGGATACAGCCTCCAATTCTCTGGGGGAAGAAATATATTTCCCACTCGACTTCTGGTCACCCTACAAGCCAGAGCCCTATGGATAGAATGGTCTGAGCTGGACGAGCAGCAGGAAGCTTGTCAAACATTGCTCTCATGGCAAGTTGCGTGGCTTTAGCTGGGTAAACTCCCAGCTTTACTCCGATTCATATGATGGGGGTGCCAAAGCCTAGATTCTTGCCAGTTTGTGTATGCATAATACTCTTTGGAATAGAAGCAGAACCTGTCCCTCCAGGAGGAAGAGTGCACATTCCATGAAAGGTCTGTGTGTAGTGGCATATGTATGTGAAACTCTGCCTGGTTCTGATATCCTTAACCATGGTGATGAGTTTGCTCGTGTGACACCATGCCCGCAACATGAAAGGCCATATATAAATTTACCTGTGGCCTGTGAATTATACTCCCAATATGCATGGGAGGAGGGGGGAATATTTCTGGTGGGAAAATGATCCAAGTAAAAAGAATGAAAAGAACATTGAGCTTTTTGGATCTGTTAATGTTTGTAATAATGTTTGTTCTGCGCATTTTTAAAAAATGTAATTCCATGGTTGGGTGTTTTATTCCAGGGTGAAAATAGGAGCTGCAGTGTTCCCACAGGTGCTAGTTGTCTGGATCAAATGGATTCACAGAATCATGAGGTGGCAGCTTTTTGCCAAGAGATCACCAAGTAAGAACAAGGTTCACTTGTATATTTATATAAGGTTTTATATATTTATTGGTGAGGGCTATGATATATACAAATTATACAATTTCATATTTTGTTTTTTCACTCACAAAAATACACCCCACTGTACAACAATAATTCTTGCATCTGATATAGTGCCTTATCACACTGTGAACATCTCAAAACGCTTCATAGGATTTTACCTTTGGATTTGTAGGAAAACACTGCAGCCAATTTGCACACAGCAATGCTTCGCAAATGTTGTGAATGAGTGACCAATTATATTTGGGGGATTGCTGGATCCCACTTCCCCGTGAACAGGCAGACAGGATCTTGCTTTAACGTCCCATTCAAAGGATGATGCCTTTGACAATGCAGTGCACTGAGTGGCAGCCTAGTCTGCTCTGTTCTGGAACTTTGCTGTGTCTCCCTTTTTTAAAAAAAAGGGTGCAGTTTTTTGCAAATTGGATGAAATGGTGCGTTTCAAAGTCAGCTTCTTAAACTTTCTCTCTCTCTCTCTGTCTGCCTATCTCTCTCTATCTAGGATTCGGTCTGCGTGTCCGCACAACAACCACTCCACGAATCCCGGTTATATTTTGAGTCCCATCATGCTTCATTGGGACACGAATGGAGAGAGCACCAGCGTTAAGGTCTCCATCGAAATCGAAGGATTTCAGCAGCCGGTGACGTTCACCTGTGACGGTGAGTTTTCTCTCGCCTCTCCTGAAGATGTTTGACTTCAGCCTCTCCTTTCACGGGGACACTGTTCCGTGGGGGCCAGACACCCACCATCATCTCCCCAAGTAGCCATAATTCATGTGTAACGACTGTGTCAGCAGACTATTATATAGCAGTACCCTGCCCTCACCTGATGACTCTCCAGCAACAACTTGTCCTTCATCACACATGGGCTTGGGTTTCTTTATGGGGACTAAGTTGGACACCAAGCAAGGGATTGGCGGGAGGGTGGTCAGAGGTTTGCTTTGAAGTGAGATTTAAAGATTGGTGGTGGGGGGGAGTGAGAGACTTAGAGTGCTAGAGGGGTGGAGCCGAAAGCTCAGCTACGAAAGATGGCACAGAGAGGGCTGAGCACGCATAGTGAGCCTGAGTTAGCGGTGGAGTAGATGGGAGAGATTGTACAAGGTGGAGGTCATTTGCTAAACGATTGGGAGCAGAAACCCGACTAATGAAATTCCCTTAACAATTGGTGAAGTAACTGCTTCAATCGGTAAGGTTCCTTTTGGCTGCACTTCAATCTAGTTTCTTTTTTTAATCATTGATGCTCAAATGCTAATGGCGAGGTGGGAAATAATCTGCAGAGCCACACACGGTGCATTGACTCAATCAGGGTCTAATTTGCGAGATGTGTAAAGAGGAAATTGCTGCCCCCTGTTATGCAGTTCCCACAACACGCTCTTAGAAAGCCTGTTTCTGGACTCTTCCACGGCTCATTACATAAACAAGGGCACCCGTAATTTCTCTCTCTCCCTACATCACACAAACTAGATCCCAACTTGCTGAAGCGTTCGGTTGTCAGATTTTATAGTAACCTGGGGCACTCCTACAGAAAGGAGAATTTACACGTTGTATTTCCCCCTCGGGGAGAGGAAACTGGAGGACAAGTCTGCCTGGGATGCTTTTACACGCCATCTCTTGGCAGAGTGCTGGGAGTTTTCTGGGAAGCTATTTGACCTGGGGCATAGTGTTAACAGGGGGCTGCCCATCATGAGTCAAATCCAGTGTTTTTCACAGCAGAGCAGTTGGAGGATTGGCGCTCTTGAGCGTGAATCATGGGAGGGGAAAGGGTGTGGGGGGAAATTTGCGGGATATAGCTCATTTGTGGCCCTCGTTGACCCGGAGCAGGAAAGGCAGGAGGCTGTGGGGGGGTGGTGGAATCTGGTCCGAGTGAAGCCTGCCTCGATCAGCAATGCCTAAAAAATGCGAAGCATCTGTTTTTGCAGCTGAAAAGTTCTGCAGTGTTAATACTTTACCAAGCTGGAATTCATTCCTTTTTTTTTACCCTGTTAAAAAGTGGTGGGAGGGAGAAAAGAGGTGTATCCATCTTTATGCAGTTTTTTTTTTGCCAGAGAGTTGTTACAGTCTGGAATGCGCTGCCTGAAAGGGTGGTGGAAGCAGATTCAATAGTGGCTTTCAAAAGGGAATTGGATAAGATACTTAAAACAGAAAAAACTGCAGGGCTTTGGGATAAGAACGGGGCAGTGGGACTAGTTGGTAGCTCTTTCAAAGAGCCGCACAGGCATGATGGGCCAAATGGCCTCCTTCTGTCCTGTAAAATTCAATGATTTTAATAATCCTTGTATTTGAAAAAGGGCCTTATTTTGTCTTGAAGCGCTTTTAATAGTAAGGAGGAGGAGAATTAACTTTTTGTGTGTGTGGTTTTGCACTCTATTTCAAGTGCCACGTTTGTATTCAAGTCCATGCATTGTGAGCCTATAATTACCAACACATTCAAAATAATTAGGGTTTGAAATCCGCATCAGTTTAATATGTTGCCTGCAGACTCCAGTATATTAGTTGCCTGCTGCTCTCTTGGGAATAGATATTTTTCTAAAAAACAATAAGTTTCAGTAAACATAGTTCTGAAATTACACAGCAAGTTCCAACTTTTTTTTAATTCAGATTCCCAGCATTGCTAACTGGAGTGCTTTTTTTTTTAATTGAAATTCTTTCCACACTGGAACAGGAGTAGTTTCAGCCCCTTGAGCCTGTTCCGCCATTCTATTAGATCATGGTTGATCTGTACTTCAACTTCAATTACCCGCCTTTGCCTTGATACTCTTAGAGTTCCAGAATTCCACTATCCTTTGCGTGAAAAAATGCCTCCTGATTTCACTGCAAAGTGGCCTAGTTCTAATTTTAAGATTATGCCCCCTTGTTCTGATTTCCCCACCAGAGGAAATCATTTCTCTGTATTAAACCCCTTTATCATTTTAAACACCTCAATCAGATCACCTTTCTAAACTCGAGGGCATACAGACCAAGTTTACGCAATCTGTTCTTGGGGTAAAGCCAACTTCCAAATTGAGGCAACATTTTTATTTGGATGTTGGGGTTGCCCAATAAATGGCGTGAGGCTAAGATCATAAAATATCGGTCGTTATTTTGAAAAGAACTGAGAAATTTGCCTTCTAATACACATATGATTACTGAGTCGCTTGTGCGTTTTATTACAAAGGAGAGTGCTGAGGGTTTCAAGCTGCCCCTGGGGTAGATGTGTGCTGTGCCGTTACAAAATGGATCGTAATTGGGTTATATCGTCGCAGGATTAAATTGGACATCTTACAATATCAGTTGTATTGTATAGAAATGCTGTTTCGCAGGGATGTGGCATCCTGTTCTTGCAATTTCCAAGAAAGGCCGATTGTTGTCCAAGTATTGTCCTTTGTTCCAGGAACTTGAGTAGAGATGAATCTCAATTTTGATTACAGCATTCCTTTTGCACAGGCATAGAATCATTGAAATTTACTGCACAGAAGAAGACTGTTCAGCCAATTGAGTCAGCACAGGCTCTCAGATCAAGGCATCCATTGAATCCTATTGACCAGTCTTATCCCCATATACCTTCAAGCCTCTATCTGTCAAGCAACCAAATGCTTTGGATTTCAAATAGAAATAGAAAAATTAATCCATAAATACATAATATATCCATGTTGGGCACTTAATAGGGCATAGTATCTCTGCAGCTTTGGTTTCCTTTGAGCGATTGCAAGCTGGCTGTTGAGTTAAAGTACTGGACGAATCTGAATTGCGATGACCTTCCTGATGATCAGTTAACTATAAGACTTAGTTTCACTATTTGACCACTGAATGAATACGTGTCCGTACTCTACGGTGAATACCTGCTCTTGGAATTCACACATATATATTTGTGTGTATTTTTTTACAAGGTGGTAATGATTTGAGCTTTCTAACCAGCCACGTTTAACCCCTCTGTGTTTAATGTAAACAAAACATTGGCAGAGTGCAGCTAGGTTAAGTGCCTTTGGGAGGCGAGTCTGCGTTGCCTGCCAAGTTCAGTGTACTGTGTACGTAACTCTGTCACCTGCTAATTGCAGGCAGATGGAAGTGGACAGATTTGGAGAGAGACTCGCCATTCACATATTGTAACTCCCTGTGTGCTGTTTCAGGGTGTCGATGCTGCCCTGTGGTTCTGGCATGAGGCGACATTGAGTGCACTTGACTTATTGAAGCCTCTGCCTATATTCACAGTCTTAGTTGTTCATCCCACTTGCACGTGTAGCTTACAACATGCCTGACATTGCTAAATAGGCCCTGAGCTTGCTTGGCTTACAATCCAAGACCATTGAGTGCAGAAATGGTTTGTTCACCGCATGAAGTCTGCAATTATAGAGGATGGTTCTCTCCATACTGACACAAAATAATGGGCCAAGTGACTGTCTACTGTATTGTATATTTCTTTTGTTCCATATCCAGTCTCCCAGTTTAATCCCCTTCCATATTCCTCAAACATCTATTTTCAGTCCCTTTTGAAAACAATTTATGGACTCTGGCTGAACAACTGGTTAGGTCAGAGAATTCCACATTCCAACCACCCTCTGTGCTAAAGTTCCTGGAAAGGCTCCATGTATGATGCTTTAAATTGCTTAGCTCATTGATCAAAGATTAAACTCGTCTGAAATAATGCTATGAATTCCATTACAACATAATTCCGCTTGCATACTTACTCTTTGATTCTGTGATTTTTGCTTATGACTTCCTCAAGTTAGTTCCAAGATTAATATTTCTAACCTGTATAATTAGGGGGTTTTTCTTTTGTCGTGAATCTCTTTTCGTAGTCTGTAGGGTATTATACCAGACAATGCAATGGCTGTGATGAAAGGACATATTGCTTAAGGTCTTTAAGAGACGAAGAATGTTTCTGGGTGTAGTCTCATGTACATTATGTAAATTTCAGCGGATTTTTGAGGACTGGTTGAAATGAATTCAGAAGAGATTACCTTTCTGATTTTCCTCCTTTATTGTATATTCTACATAGAACAATCTAATCTGTTTCTTGATGAGAAAATCTATATGAATTGATGTATTCTTAGCCTATACTGATGTTTAACCTCTTGCTGTCTCTTACAGTGAGCTCCCACGTTGAACTTATTATAATGCAAGCTCTCTGCTGGGTTCATGATGACCTGAACCAAGTTAATATGGACAGTTACATCCTGAAAGTCTGTGGACAAGAAGAAGTCTTGCAAAAGTAAAAAAAAAAACTTTACCAAACTCATCTTTTTCCTTTTCCAAATACGCTGCCGGGGAGGAATTCAAGAGTTTGGACTATAAAGTGGGTCTGTGTCGCATGAGTTAACTAGTTTGGGTGTTTTTTTTGTGTGTGCCAAAGGTCAGTTTCTGGGTGAATGAAATGTTATGGATGCACGTGGAGCTAAAACTATGATCAGTCATTAAGTGGCCATGCATTATCTTAAAGGCATCTTATTTTTTGAAGAGCGTGATCACTGCAGGCCAATTTCGAAATGATATGCAATTTATAAGTGGGTTTGCAATTCCAATGTGGCTCTTGTCACTCTGTAACCCATTGAGCAATTCCACAAATAAAATTGGTCATTTACTTCATGACTTTGTGAGGTGGTACTACGTGCGGATTGTCTGTCACATTCGTCTACAAGATACAGTTACTACAAATTCCAGTAAATCCCACCAAGCCCTTGTAGAAGTCCTCCTGACGTGAAAGGAGCTATATCAAATGTAAGGATTGATTTAGTGTATGTGCTGTATCACATGTTTTTTTTCTTTTGCACGGCTCACAGTAAACACTGCTTGGGGAGCCACGAATACATTCAAAACTGCCGCAAGTGTGACACAGAGATCAAGCTGCAGCTGATGAGTCACAGTACAATCTGCAGAGCCCTGGCTCGTACGGTAAGCCTCCGACACTGAGAACAACAGGAAATGATACAAGATCTTTCTTAGTCTCGTCTGAACCGAAGTGTGTATTTTACGACTCTCTTGCAATCCCCATAATTAAATCTAGATGTGAAAAGCCTTCAGTGTTTTGAATGGGACATGTGCTGGCTTAATTTATGAACTGGTGATGCAAAGGAGTGTCTTTAGGGAATTTACAGCTTGCATGCCAGAAATGATTTGTGCATGTGTATGAGCTCAATCCAGTTCACTCTTTAAGTGAAAGTCTTCCTGATAGCTGCTGGCAGTGAGGATCGTAAGCCATAATGTGAGTGATTGGGAGTGGGTTAGAGCAGGAAAGATAAGCGGGAGATGATTACCTTGTTTATATTTGGTGATCATTATACCAAGGTCCTATCCCCATGTTCAGGTGGACCTTAAAGATTCCTCAACACGAGAACACCTTGTTCTTGCCAACAATCCCACAGATAAAAATGGTCATTCACTTGATGGCTGTCCGCTGCTGTGCACAAATTGGCTGCAGGGTTTGCCTACAGCATTGAAACTTTTCACAGTAATTACTGCTCCTATGTTGTGGGCATTGGGTCAAATGCAAGGGTGATTTCCATTTCTCACCACTGACGTCTTGCCACAAGAAAAATCACCAAACTACAATTTAGTGGGTAGTTTTGGAAGGGTGACTTCCTTAATTTGAAGCAGAAAGCTCCTCCAATGACCATGATTTATTCCATGATTCTCTGAACTATGTAGGTTTCTGCTATTTTTACATTGAGTCTTTAAATCCCTCTTGAAATGCGTTCCAAGCCTCCTGCGCTTTTCTATAATCAATTTTTGGAGCTTCAGATGTGACTCATTCCAAGGGTGCAAAAGTCACCAAGTCCAGGCTTTTAGCCACTGCACCCCTAATCTCTGGAACTCCCTTTGCCTCAACTGTATTGATCTTTAAATTCCTCCTGAAAACTTGCCTCTACAACCATCTATGGTCACTTCCCCCTCTTCTCCATTGCTCAGCTATTAACACCCACCAGTGTACAACACTCAGACAATCTTGCATGGAGGGCGCTAACTAAATGCAAATTGGTGGCTCGTCATTGCCATGACCTCCTGCATGCAAAGTCAGTGGGACATCTGACTCCGACTCGTGTGCGTTCCCAAACTTGATGTCAACTAACGCAACTCTCTTGATATATCTCCTGATATAAAAGTGTCGTACACATAATAATAATAATAATCCTTGCATTTGATATAGCGCTTTTCACGTCGGGAGGACGTCCCAAAGCGCTTCACAGAACACACTGTAAAGTGAATTGACTGTATATTTGTGGGCGAACGCGGCAGCCAATTGCGCACAGCAATGTCCCACAAACAGTCATAGATTGAAAATGACCAATTTATTATTGGTTTTGGAGGGATTATTATTAGGCGTGTGGAGTAAGGAAACTTGCCCAAGGTTTCGCCCTCTGCCTGGAATTGAACTCAGGTCTCTCGCTTGCAAAGCGAGTGCTCTAACCACTGAGCTACAGGACTCCACATGCGTCTGTTCCCATCTGGATATTGGCCACGTACATACAAGAGTACATAGCTAATGTCAGTAAGTACTAAATAAGAGTACTTACAAGAGTACTAAATAAAAAAAATTAAAAATAATAATTTGGTCACTCAATCCATGACTGTTTATGGGACACTGCTGTGTGCAATTGGCTGCAGTGTTTCACCCATAAAATATACAGTCACTTCACTTTACGGTATATTCTGTGAAGCGTTTTGAGAAGTCTCAAAGACGTGATAAGGCGCTATATCAAATGCAAGTATTATCAATCTAAGGGTTTCTACTGTCAAAACAGGCCGATGACGATGAAGTGCCTACAGATCTGGAGAAGTTTCTACAAAAGGTGGAAAAGCCCTTCAAAGAAATCATCAGCAGGTGAAGAGACAGTTTAAGTTTTAATTGCTACCATTTGGGAAGGTGGACAGTTTATTCAGACATTGCTGTGGTTTCTTTTGTGCTGCAGGCAGAGTCTCACTGAGCTCCTAGAAACCTATCACGGTCACGTTAAGACATGCTTGCAGAATGAGGTGAGTCACCTTGCAGTTGGGGAGAGAATTAAGGGGGCTTTTTATACATCCAGTGAACTATTGAGTGAGTCAGATGAGTGTCCTTCTGAGTTGAACTTATTGGGTAACTGAACCCTGCCTCAAGAAATACACTAAGCGTACTTGCTGGAGTCCTGTAGCTCAGTGGTTAGAGCACTCGCCTCACAAGTGAAAGACCTGGGTTTGATTCCCGGCAGGGTGAAACTTGGGCAAGTTTCCTTACTCAACATGCCTGATAATAATCCTTCAAGAGAAAAAAACAATAATAATTTGGTCACTCAATCCACTGCTGTGTGTGGGACACTGCTGTGTGCAATTGGCTGCGCATTTCGCCCACAAATATACAGTCAATTCACTTTATATTGCATCCTGTGAAGTGCTTCGAGCGTCTAGAAGATGTGAAAAGTGCTATATCAAATGCAAGAATTATTATTGTTTTAATTGCCTGATAAAGGATACGTGAATTGAGTGAGTCTCATTGTTGGGAATCTGAAATTTCCCGATGGATTTTTCCAACCCTTTGCCCTCATAAAGGTGTTTGGTTCCAGGTTTCTTGGTATTTGAGTGTGGTTCCACTGCTGGAGTGAATGGGCCATTGTTTATGCCCAAGTCTCAACAGAGGCTCATTTCTCACAGGAACATTGGGAAAACAGGATGAGGCCATTCTGCCTCTATCGACCTTGCCTGACATCCATGTCATTCCAACAGGCATCTCATTACAGTCTCTGAATAGCAGTCGGGAGCAGAAACCTCCCTTCTCATCTCCTTCCCCTCTCTCCCCCCAACTGCCCCTGTGCCCCACCGCCATTGCCTGATCTATTGTAATGCATGGTTTTACCCACATCTGAGAGATGACTGCTTTCCTGTTTAACTAGAACAAACAGTACAAAACTGTGGACCGGGTCATCCAGGCCGTAAAGAACATTTGCAGTGCACTGGATGGTGTGGAGACCAAAACCATCACTGACGCCGTAAAGAAACTCAAGCGTGCCGTCAGCCTACCAAAGAGCAAAACATTGGAGGTATGTCTACTCCCGATTGATGCCTAAATCCATATTGCAATGCATTTTCTCTTCGGAACTTATGTTGATGCCTTGTGATGGCATTTGACTTTGGCCCTGGATTGAGTTGCGAAAGAGCCATAACACTTTTATTTCTTTGGGGTTATCTGGAGTTCAGCTGAGTTTGCATCATACGGAAACATTTGCAACCGAAATGCATTTTTGTTTGCATATGTTATGACCACACACAAAAGCTGCAGTGTTGCCCACTGCAAGGGAATGAGTGGGGAGCGTACAGGAAAGGGCTACAGTGAAGCTGATAGAAAAATCAACAAAAGCATTGTTCGATCGGTGTGTTCCCATTTAGTTCTCTTATTGTGTGATCGGTAAGGAAGTAAATCTATGGCCAGCTGGTCAGTCTGCCTTTTAAACACCAGACAACTGAGGCTTTATCTGATCAGCTTGGCTCAGTTAGTGGCCCAAGTCAGGACTTTGAGCACACAAGACTAGGCTGACAATCCAGTGCAGCGCTGGGGGAGTGTAACCATTGTTGAAGATGCCATCCTTCAGACGAGGTGTTACACACCAACGTCCCGTCTGCCTTTTCAGATGGACATTAAGGATCCCATGGCACCACATGAAAAAGAGAGTTGTTTCCACTGTCCTGGCCGACAATCTGTAAAATTGGTCACTCACTTGCTATCTTCTGAGGGCAATTTCACTTTTTTTTGTCCTTTTCACTGGGAACAGACATCGGTTGTCCTCTGGCACCTTGCCCCAAGTGTGTGAGTTCAGCAACCACAGGCTATTTGATCATGGCAGAGCATTTGATGAGCCTACCTCCTTCTCTATATTCCCCACCATCACCACTGCCAAAAACTTGGATGCTGCAACATCCAGTACTTTTCCCCCACCCCCCCATTGCTGATTCAGCTGTGCTCATAGCCTCCTTTTTAATACTTTAATGACTGATCTACTCTGACACCAGTATCTACCATGTCTGCTCTTCCACAGGTCAGATCGAAGGTTGGTGATGACTCAGGTGATGGTGGAAAGAATGGTGAGTCGCTGCCACGCAAGCTGAAAAGGTTCTTTGTTTATTTGAGCAATTATGAGTTTGTCATGTAATATTTAACGTTCTTGTGATGCCTCTGAGCTCCAGCTTTAGCAGAAATGTGTTTTTTCTTGTGGGTCCAGTCTCTCTCCTGAGAACAATTCCCTTTTTGTTTTTGAGGGGATCAGATGCTCACTTGAAGGGAACAAGCAGCTGGACACTAGATGGGTAGTTATGGTGAGGTCAGGGAGAGAGAGGAGTAAAATGACTTGATGCAGGAGGAGATGATTGGCAGGGGTGGAGGGGAGAGAAATCTCCCCACAATTAAAGGAACCAAGACCCTATATGGAATGACTAAGGCTTCTTAATGAGGCCTCAGCGTGACTAGACAGAGATCCAAGTGTCTTGCATTGGGGGAGGTTATTATTTTAGATTGCGGACTGTAGATGACTTATTGTTTTAGATTGGGAATGACAATGCAAATTGATGTGTTGGATGGGGGAGAAAAGTGAGATGACTTGGGTTTGATTCCTGGGCAGGGTGAAACGTTTGCCAAGTTTCCTTTCTCTACACGCTTCTGATTACCAAGCAGTAAGTAGGAACCTGGTTGTTAGTCCATTGGCAGTTCGTTTCCGGGGGTAATAATGCCTTCAAATAAATAAATAATTTGGTCACTCAATCCACATCTGCTTTTGAAACACTGCTGTGCACAATTGGTGGCTGTGTTTCGCTCACAAAATATACAGCCAATTCACTTTCCAATATATCCTGTGAAGTGCTTTGAGACATCTCAACAATGTGATCAAGCGCTGTATCAAATGCAAGGATGATGGTTGTTTTTATTATTATTTTTATTATTATTATAACATTGATGATTTTGGCCTGTTGCAGGCTCTGTGCCTGCAGTGAGTGCGTTGGAGGGAAGCTTGGGTGAGCTAACCGTGGCTGTGAATGAGCTACTACAGCAGTACCTAAGCTCCTTCAGCTGCAGCCCAGGCTCCGCTGGGGCCTTGCCCACGAGCGCCAAGCCCACGAGGGAGGCCCGAGCCACCAAGGAACATCTTCAGTTCACCCTGTTCGCCGCCCACCGGATCCCCCCGGCCTGGATCAGTAGGTGAGGAGTGGCCCAGAGCCCGTACGCAACAACAACTTGCATTTATACAGGGGTAGTGTCCCGGAGTGCTACACGGACAAGACACATGTGGCGCACGATTGAACATGGAACTTACAGATGACCGAACTGTTTGTAAACAGTGAGATGGGTTTGTGTGGGTGGCTAGTGGTAGAGAGAGGTGAGGAAAGGGATACTCGGCACCAAAAGAGTTTGGAGGAAAGGCAAGTGAATGGATTAAAATGGAGTCAGCGCAGACACATCAGGCCAAGTGGCTTCCTGCTGACAAAGACTAGAGCACAGAAACAGCCTCATCCAGTCTGTGCGAATGATTATACTCTTATGTGAATCGCCCCCCGCCCACCCCGTCGAGTTTCCAGTGAAATGCAATGATGCTTTCGGCCTCGATCACATTTTCCAGCAGCAGCTTCTGTGTTCTCAACCTCCCTCGTGGAAATGTTGCTCCTGAGCATCTGCCTTCAACTCACTTGTAGCCCTGCACGTGCTCTGGAGGTAAACTCTTAACCAGTTGCCCAGTTGAACCTCTCAGTCAAGATGGCTCCTCAGGAACTTTGACCTAGATTTTAAAAATCTCTTCCCATCTAAACCTTGCCAAAAGAAATAACAGCCTTCCGTGACAATCTGGCACAGGCTTCTTTCTGCTCAGAGCTTTGGGCCTAGCTAGTGCTGATTTTGAGTGGAATGCAGGTAAATTAACTGGAGGCACAGCACTGAAATAATCCAGCCAGACAGTCTGCTCTGTGTGCGTTTTTTTTTAATATCCAAATATATTTTAAAATGTTAATATCTGGGCTAGCAAACCTGATAAATCTGACCCGGTTTCAACTCAACCAACAATCATGATATTTTCACTGAAATCTTCAGCTCTTGAGCATTGCAGTGTTGAACTGGGTTCAGCACATAAGTGTAGGGATTTTTTTAATATATATTTGGGAAACAAAAGTTATTTTGGGCTGCTTTCCTTTTTTTTTTTGAGAGTTGTGCTGTTTTATCCTCTTTGCCGACTGACAGACTCCTCTCTGCATCAGGGGTTTGTTCTGTTTTCCCCGGCCCCCACCTCCCAGGTTGCCACCAAATTGCAAATTGTCTCTCCTATTTCTCGGGCGGAGGGGGTTTGCTTCTGCTAAATTGCAGAAGAGGGCAGAAAATGTCTGCTCAATGGCTCCTTTTCCCTCTTCTTTCCTTTTCTTTCCCTTCGCACCCACTCCCGCCCCCCCCCCCCCCCACCCCACCCACAAAAGTCCTCTGTAGTTATCCTAGTTGACCAACCTTGTCTACACTTCTGAGTCTCTCTGAGCCAGTCATGTCATAGCCGGAAGGTGGAGCCCTATTTTTCCATCAGCTGGATGAAACCCATCACCAAACTATATAGTGAGTTCTATATTTGTATGCTGCCTACAAGTGGAAATTTCCATCTCTGGAATGGAATGCGCACTTTCTCCCTGGAGAGAATCATCCTGCCTACCTGATACCCTGGCGTATTATACGCAGGTTGGCAAGAGAGTGTGTGTTGCAGGTGACTTCTGGAGTTCAACCAGCTAAAACAATGTAGCTTTCTTTCCAAGTCTGGCAAGATTCCTGCTACTTATCCTTGGGCAAATTTCCTTACTCCACACGCCTAATAATAATCCCTCAAGAAAAAAATAATAAATTAGTCACTTCAATCCACGACTGTTTGTGGGACACTGATGTGCTCAGTTCGCTGCCGCGTTTATCCACAAATATACAGTCAGTTCACTTTACAGTATATTCTGTGAAACGCTTTGAGATGTCTAAAAGACGTGAAAAGCGCTGTATCAAATGCAAGGATTATTATTATCCAGTTAAGACTGACCAGTTAGGGCTTTGTACCTAAAATTGGAATCTCCTCTGTACCCAAAATTCCCACCGTTGACTGTTGTCTGAAATGTGCTTTGACAGATGATTGTTATCTATTTCAGCTTTGAAAAGTACTACCTGATGTGCTCATTGACCCACAATGGGAAGGATCTCTTCAAACCAGTGCAATCCAAGAAAGTTGGGACCTATCGAGGCTTGTTTTGCCACATCAAGTGGGATGAGCTGTGAGTGCCTCTGTATTTTGATGCGTTCCTGTGTGTACCTGGAATATGCACAATATATTCAGTGAAGCACTTTTGAGACTTCTCCACTTCTTTTGCCTTAAAATGTAATATTACGCAGAATGACAGCAAGTTGGAGGTACTCCGGGATGGAGTTCCAGCAATTAGATAGGAGTGTGGAACAGGAGGAGGCCATTCAATTTGTCACTCTTGTTAGCTCGTGGCAATCCATTGATTCCCTTTGCTAAAATTGGTCAGTTGCATCATCTACAAAGTACTTTAGATATCTCTCAATGTCGTGATAAAGTGCTACAGCAAATGCAAGTATTAGTAGTAATATCCCTGTTATAACTCAGTAGTTCTAAGCAATCAGCTCTATGAACCTTGCCATGAGTTTCGTAACTTTATCTCCACTGCCCACCAAGTTAACTTGTGAAGCCCCACAAGTGGTGTTGAACACCACACGGCGCACTGTGTTACCGATGATGCTGATTTCATTTTCCAGGATCAGCTTCCCGATTCCGATTGCTCAGCTGCCCTTGGAGTCCATGCTGAGCCTCGGTTTGTACGGAATATTGAATCCCTCGGCTGCCGGATCACCGGATTCTAACAAGCAACGGAAGGGGCCGGAGTACCTTGGCCAAGTTTCTGTGCCACTTTTCAGTTTTAACCGGTAACCAGTCTTATTTTTTTATGCATAAAACTCCTCAATTTTTCAGGCTGAGCCTGGCGTCTTGATTTTTTCACAAGAGTTGCCCCATCTATATGTGTTGTTTGCAGCGAGACTGACCTTGGGCTATTTTTTTGTACGTGGGTGGGGGAGAGGAAAGAAAGATGAGGAGGGGTTTCGCACTGGTGCCTACTCTTGTTCTCTTTTCACACCGCATACTTTGGGAGTTCAAAGGCCTGAAAGTCCTCCCAAGTCTTCACCCGTGAGACAGTTCTGTTAAAACCACAGCGAAAATTCTTCGATCGAAGAGAAGGGTCTTGAGACCAGCCTTGAAGGAGGCAATGGAGGAAACTAGGTGAAGGGACTGTGGGATGGAGTTCCAGAGTATGGGGGCAGAGAGGCTGAAAGCCCGGCCACCGATGGTAGGGTGGGCGGGAGACATGGAGCAGGCCGGAGTCCGCTGAACGGAGGGAGTAGGCAGGTTGGTAGGGAGTCAGCAGGTCAGAGAGGTAGGCGGGCACAAGGTCATGGGTGGCCTCAAAGGTGAGGACGAGGATCTTGAACTCGAAAGTGTGTGGTTAGAAAGCTTTTTGCAAAGCTGGATGGAATGCTCAAATGGCCTTCTCATTCCCTCCATTATTGCGTGACAGTTCTTGACTTTTATTGCAATCGCTGATTTTCCAAGATGATCTTTTTTGTTACTTTTTTGGCAGTTCTCTCAACTTTTCTTCCTTCCCCTCCTCCCCCGCAGCGTGTTGACTTGTGGAACAAAGCTGCTACGGCTCTGGACGTCCATCCTTGGGAATCCAGCTGGTGGGACAATAAATAGAAAAGGCAGCTCAATGGACAGAATAGTGCTGCAAGTGAGTGCTCCGCGCACATACATATATTTATGCATTTTCAAATACAACAGTCCTTTAAATTTTACGGTGGGGGGAGATCAAACATGACAATTTCTGAATAAGAAGCCCACACCTCTTACGTGGTGCACCCAGAATACAATTGTCACAATGATACATGTCGCGTGGGACAGCATGCGTGAAAAGTAATTTAGAGGTAGTCTCTCTCACCCCCTCCCCAAAGGGTTCATTGCCACACTTGAAATCTGAGGCTTGAGTAAATTGAGTTGCCGCTGACATCTCAAATTGCGCTCGTCTCTTTGTTGCTGGGATCAATTCACTTTACAGTGTGTTCTGTGAAGCGCTTTGGGACGTCCTCCCGACGTGAAAAGCGCTATATCAAATGTAAGAATTGGAGAAGGTTTGTGCGATGGCAATCAGCAAGCCACCAATTTCCTCAAGTTAACTTTGAACTTCAGTACCAAAGGCGAAGAGTTCAAGAAAGTCCAAAATCTGCAAGAGAGCCCCATAGACCGGAGGAATCTAATACCCATTGAATAGTGGTCATTCTTGGGACCTCCTGTCATCCACTAATTCTGCAACTTAAGTTGCCTTCTATCTTGGTCTTGAAATTGCAACTGTTCTGTTACAGGAAGTCGAAGAGTTTCCCTGGTTCCGTTTCTTCCTGAAAGTGAATCTAAAACTACTGGCAGAATGCAAATTTTTTTCCTGAGGTGTTTTTTTTGCCTGTGTAATTTTTATACTTAGGATTAACATTAACACTGGTTAACTTTAATGTGTTGTCATTTTAAACCATGTATTTCGTTATGGTCAGAATGAGTTCTTCTTCATCTGCATTAAATGTCTCATCTGATGCCCTGAATAATGTTCTACTGATCCTGAACAGGCCATGACTAACCTTTTCTGTACACAAATTACTCGTAAAACTGTAGAAACTTACAGCACAGAAAGCCAATTGTGTCTGTGCTGGCTCTTTGAAAGAACACCCCATTAAGTTCCATTTACCTACTTTTCCCCAATTCCCCTGCAAATTGTTCAGACTTGTATCTAGTCCCCTGAAAGTGAATATGGATCCTGCCTTTCACCACAGCACCCAGAAGGGTATTTCCAGATCATCATGACTCATCGTGTAAAATAATTGCTCCTAATCTTCTCGACCCTTTGCTAACTATCTTAAACTAATGCCCTCTTGTCACTCGGTGCTCTCTCACAATTTCCTTATGATAAAAACTAATCGCTGCATTTGATACAGTGCCTTATTGTGTCATCTCAAAGCTCTTCACGGGATTTTCCTTTGTGAAATGGACTGACTAGATGTGAGCTAAAAGTCAAAAGCACACCCGTTCCTCAAGCTTACAGCTTTTGTTTTCAGGCTGATTTTTCTCTATTTCCCTCCCTCCCCCACCTTCACCCCTCACCAGTTGATGGGTTTAATCTTGCTTTGTTTACAATTTAGGTGGACTTTCCATCCTTTGCCTTTGATGTTGTCTACTGCCCTCCGCAGCCTAGCCGGGTTGTTGAACTGGACTTTGATACGTTGGACACAGAGACCCAGAAGCAGCTCCTTGATGTATTTGCCAAAGACTCGGCATTTGAGTAGGTTCTTCCTGTGTGGGTTTTTTTTTTAGATTTTGCTGCACTCTTATATTTTTTAAAATATATATACCTACCTCCGAATAAACGCCATTCCCTACCTCAAAATAAACGCCAAGTCTGGCAAGTTACCACTAAGACTCAAATAGTAACGTACATAATTCAGGCTCAGTCTGTCGCACTCCCACTTCATGCTCAGAAAGTTATGGGTGAAGCCCCACTTTGGAACTTGAGCTCAGGGTCCAGACTGACTCTCTTGTGTAGTGCTACAGGGAAGGGAAGGGGTCGGGTCATGGGTTGCTTGGATGAGGTAGATAAAAATAGAGGCTTCTACAATACTCTTCATAATAAAAAAGATGGGACTGCTGTGCTGGCCATCTCATGGCTGTACGTAGGAACTTGTGTGTCCAGCCACAGCACTTGAGAGAAATTATCGCAAAAGCATTTTTGAGACAATAAACAAATTGTGGCGTGTTGAGTTTTGGAAGGGATTAAAAGCATTCGAATAACAGAGGCTCTGAATTTGCTCTAAACTGTATTGAATACAGTGGATTTGTAGAGTGTTTTTAATTCTCAATTGCCCTTTTGTCCGCAGACTTTCTAAAACTGACAAAGAACATCTGTGGGACAAACGACAGTACTGTTTTTCCCACAAAAACAGCCTTCCCAAGATTCTGGCCAGCGTTCCGAGCTGGGATTGGGACTCTCTCCCCGAGATCTACTCTCTGCTCCAGCAATGGATTCCGCTCTGCCCTGTGTACGCCTTGGAGCTGCTGGATTCTAAGTACGTCTCATGATCCCTGAAAGAGCAGAATGTGCCATGGTGTCTGTCGTCTGGTTTAGTGTTGCGTGTGCTGGCGAACAAGCATGCGTGAGGTGTGTTGGGAGCTCACTCACTACCTCACTGTGTGGTGAACTCGCTGGTGAATTGTGGGCTGTCTCTGTGACTGACTGCGGTTTCCCTTTATGAATTCATTGGGATTATGTGCAGTTACCCTTTATGAATGTAATGCTATGCTCTTAATATTTCCACACTGCGGTGCTGTGTGCGTTTCACACCCCTGAAAGCCTCTTTGGCACCAGAAGCGTGTTGAACAGCTGTGATTTGAGCCGGTCTCCCCGGGAGGCAAGTTGCAAGGCCGCACTTCATTCATTCTCCACAGTTTCAGCTCTGTAACCCACACGGCTGTTTTCGTTCCAGATTCGCGGACCAAGAAGTGCGAAGTGTCGCTGTGAACTGGCTCGAAGCAGTCACCGATGACAAGCTTGTGGATTACCTGCCTCAATTTGTACAGGTGAGGTGTTCCAGCATATCTTTTTTCCTTCCGCTCCCTACCTTCTCCCTGTGTATATTCCCCCAGTCTATTCTCTTTTAGCTTCCCCTCTAACCCATGAGCACTGAAGTCGATTGTAGCACGTGATTACCAGGATGGTAGAAGGTGGACTAGATGGACCTTGCTCTTTTTGTTCAGCAGTTCCTATGTTTCTCTTTTTTTTCTTTGGAGCTCATCAGGCTGAGGGGATAGGATATAGGCTTATAAGATGAAGGGAGGCTTAAATAACACAGATAGGAAAAGATTATTTCCGGTGGTCAGAGGGTCAAGGCAAAGGCTGGCATATATGGGACTAGAGATAAGATCTAGGGACTTGTGTGTAGTATAAACACTAGCCTCTCCCTCACCTCCTTCAAGACAGGCCTCAAGACCTTCCTCTTTGACCGTGCCTTCAGCCACACTCCCACTTCCCCTGTCCTCCAACCCTCTTGATTGCAACCCACAGCTAGGGTGCCACCCCTTAACTGTCCAGCATCTTGGAACATCCTTCCGACATGAAAGGTGCTATATAAATGCAATGTGTTGTTGGTGGCCGGACTGGATTGGCCAATTGGCTTGTTTGAGCTGTCCCTTCTAGGAATCTATGAAAGCTTTCCTAACCTACGCTGTTTTCATTCTCTAGGCTGTGAAGTACGAGTGTTACCTGAGCAGCGCCTTGGTGAGGTTCCTCTTGTCTCGGGCTCTGGGAAGCATTCTTGTAGCACATCACTTGTACTGGTAAGAAGCCCGATCTCTCATTTGGAACTGAAATGTCAGCCTGGCTGGGTCGGTGGTACTCTCACCTCTGAGTCAGAAGGTGGGGTGGGGGGTTAGTTTCTAGTCTTACACCCAACGCTTCCATCAGACTGCAAACCATGAGAAGCAGCATCAATCAACCTGACAAAATCAACTAGATTCCTTAATGCCATTAACAGTAGGAACCGTGGTAGTGGATCGTGTTAGAACACAGTTCCGTCAGTTTAGCATGAAGCCCGCATTTACTGGAGTGGAAGGAATCACGCTTGCAGGATTCTTGATTGCTTGTTATGAAATACCGCAAATTAGCCCCCCTTCGTGTGGAAGCTGCGTGGAGTATAAAAGCAATGATTGAACGAACGCAGCTCCTATCGTGCGTGACTGGGTGTCTGGCATCTGTTGGGGGTTTGCTTGCAACACAGCAAGAACAAAACTAGTTGTTTAAGGCTGCCAGCCAGCAACACATACCTCTTCACACAGGAATGCAGATGTGCTTAAGCTCACATATGTGTGCAGGAGTTGCCAAATTGCAGCCTGGCTTCACTAAGTGGCTTCACTGATCTGCACGCGTGCATGTGTCCGCATGCATGTGTGTGCGTGCTTGGAAACCATCTTTGAGCTTGTGTGTCCTGGAGACCCCACTTCGATGTAGCTGCTGCTCATTCGCTTTGGAATATAGTTTAGCGAGTACCTTGTTAGCTCCCGAGCCAGCATAGCTCAAATACTTTTCTTTGTAACTGTAAAAGACAGCAATTTAGAGAATGTTGTAATAATCCTCGCAGTTGATCCACTGTAGTTGCGTAAACCATCAAAGCGATTTGCAGTAATTACTGTCATGTGTAGGGAATGTATTTGTCGGTGGACTCAGCAACCAGTTTGCGCACAGCAATATCCTGCAAACAGCCATGGAGTGAGTCACCAATTTTATTCAGAGGATTGGTGGCCAGGACACTGGGAGAAACTCCCGCCTGTTTTTGAACAGTACCGCGGGATCTTTAACGTCCACCTGAGCAGGCAGACGAGGCTTCGGTTGTCTCATCCAAAGGCAGGCACCTCTAACAATGCAGTGCCCTTTCTACCTTTGTTTTTCCTCCTCTCAGTTTTGTACCTAATTGTATTATTTAAATGCTGAAGCTTCTGTGAGGGGGAGTGTACCCTACTGTCTCCAAATACGGCAAGTAATATGCTCTCTCCCCCCCCCCCCCCCCCCACACACATACACCTTTATCGGAAGCATTTGTGTTCCCGAGCTTCCAAAGGACTTGGCATAAGCGTTTCGTGCCCTGTGTCCATGTCTCTAGGCTGCTGAAGGATTCCCTCCACAACCCTCACTTCGGAGTGCGTTACGAGCTGATTCTGGGCGGCCTGCTGTGCGTGTGCGGGAGGGCATTGCGGGAGGAGTTTGAGAAGCAGAGCTGGCTGGTGCAGAAGGTGGGAATGGTGGCGGAGAAGGTGCGGCTGGCGAGTGGATCGGCCAGACAGGTACGTGTCCTGTCAGCGGGAGGTTTGTGTGTGTGTGTGTGTGTGTGTGTATCACAGGCATTTTTATGAGCTGTCAGTAAGATACGTTGGCAAATCGGGCTCGTTGTTCTGCAGCATGCCTCCTGGATTGCTGTTGAGTCAATTATTCTTCAGTGCTGAAAATTCACACTGGGACCTGGTGGTTTTCCCACATCAAATCAGTCTCTCACCTAAAATAGCCTAATGTCCAGAGCTTCCCATTCTGAAGCCAGAAATGACTGAAGTTCAATGATGCTAAAGAGCTTGGTTCATATACTGCTACATGTCATAGCAACCCACACCAGGGCCTGACTTCTACTCCAGTAGGCGTGTGTGCGCAAAACACATGGCCACTACACTAGACTGAGAAGCATTTTGAGACGTCCTCCTGACCTGAAAGGCAGGATACCTAATTATTATATTGTCCAGAATAGAGCATGTGCTTATCCTGCCCTTGACTACATGGCTGCTACGACCTGGTTTTGATCTCAGATCTTTACCCCGTCAAGGTTCTTATCTACTTGGGTGGAGGGGTGGACATGGGCTTGGTCAAAGGGGTAGGTTTTTATCTGGGACTGAAAGGCTGATGCGGAGGAGGCAAATCAAGAGCGTACCTTTTTAAGGTGAGCTTTAAAGCTGCTGACAATCTCAGTCCGTGTTACAATCAATGGGTAATTCAGCAACTCTGAGCTGCAGGTGAGAGTGAGGGAGCCGAGCCAGGACATTTACACCATTCCCTTGTTCCTCGCCCGTACTTCAGAGCACAGTCATGTCCCTGTTCCACCACCTCACTCTAGATAAGTGGAGCAATGGCGATCAATAAAGCATCTTGGAAATTTCTTTCTGACACTGGCCCCTGCTCTCTCTCTTTTGATCCCTCTCCACAGGTCACCCTTCAGGAGGGTATGGAGGGTGTCCAGTGCTCCCTCAAGCACAAGTTTCGGCTGCCACTGAACCCGAGCTTGGTTGCGAAGGAGCTCAACGTTAAGGTAGGAATTTCAGTGCCTCTCGACGTCCTTCCGACATGACAGGTGGTATAAAATGTTGTTGTTGTAGAATTCCATCAATCACTATCTCCACTTTGGTGTTATTGAGCTGGAGTTTCCCCAAATGAGACTACTATATGTGGGTCAGCTGGTGAGCTGTTGACGAAACTGTCACCTCTTTATCACCTACTGCGACTGCACAGTCTGCAATGTTGGGTAATTTGCACCTGTGCCAATGTTCCTTTGACACAATCTTTCAGAAATGGAAATTTTCCCTCGTCTAGAATTAAATGTACTCTCTCCCTTTCGCCACACACCCTGCTAACGTAACTCCGGAGAGCGTTAGGCGCAGGTTGGGAAGAGGCAAGGTTTGAGATATCCAGAGTGTGCTTTGAGATGCTGGGTGGGTATGTGTGTTAGTTAGTGTGTGTGTAGTGTGTGTGTGTTTGAAAGAAGCCCATTGGTCCCTTGAACAGTCTGGTCTCATTGCATCTCTTCATGCTCAGCATTGGATATTACACTAACTTGTTACAGATGTTTGGTTGTACATCGTAGTCTGCTTCCAGCACATTACTGCATGTGAACATTGTTCTGTAACTCAGTCTCTGTTGGCCTGTAGTAATGTGACTTTTGGCAGATATTTTTAGTGAGTTATTTACGTCGGTGTGGCTTTCCGTTGTGTTGTGCCCATCGCTGTGTACAAACCAAACCCGAACTCCTTTGATCTGGCTCTTCATTTCTGCTACAGGCTCCCCAGGTGGTTAGGCAGGTTTATCCAGTTCATGTGGCCAGGTCACACCCTCAAGGCAAGGTGTCTGGGTTGCTCTCTATTCTACACTTGAGTTAGCTGATCTCAGGCACGGCAGCACTGGGGAGAGGACTACAAATAAAGCTCTGTATCTATAGAAGTAAAGGGGAAAGCCTACTCGTTAATCACAATCTACTGACCTTGATGGTGCGAGGTGAAGATTAGCTGCTTTTCTGTTAAATGCCATAGTTTCACTGTTCAAGGCCCTCAATTGTTAACTTGGTGTCTATTTCCTTTTTGCAGGCCTGCTCTTTCTTCAATTCCAATGCAGTGCCACTGAAGGTAGCATTGGTTAACGCAGACCCACTGGGGGATGAGATCAATGTAATGTTTAAGGTGAGAGCTCCCACTGCAGACGTTCAGATCTCTGGGTAAAAGGATGAGACGTTAAACCGAGGTCCCATCCGTCTGTTTAGCTGGACATTAAAGACCCCATTGCACGATTGGTAAAGAGAAGGGAGTTTCTCTCTCCTGGTGACCTGGCCAACAGTTTCCCAAATAAGATTGGTCACTCGCTCCATGGCTGTTTGTGGGACATTGCTGTGCACAACTGACTGCCGCATTTCACTCACAAAATACAGTCTATCCACTTTACAGTATATCCAGTGAAGAGCTTTGAGATGTCTCAACGACATAAAAGGCGTTATATCACATGCAAAGACCATCATTAGTATTATTAATTATTATGATGACGATTGTGAACTTTATATTGTTTTAGTTGTTACCATTGTAACCAGCCAGTGTCTGAAGTACTAGACCTGTGAAATGTGTTGATAGGAGGTGACTGCCAACTCAGCAGTGAGATTGGAATGGTGATAACTGGCACAAGTCTGAGGACTGAGGGAGAATGGCATGAACGGTATCTAAATCACTGTGGTAACCATCTGGCTGCCAGGATACCAATACGACATTCTGCATTACCTGAGTTTTTGTGCAGTTTTAACTGGTTAACCTCCAGCCGTGCCTCCTCTCCCTATCAAGCGCAGACGCTGAGACTCCCCAAGTTTTGGCTCTTGCTGCTTTGGGGTTCAACTGGACAAAAGGATGAGACGTAGGCTTATAGCTTCGTCCAAGGGATGACACCACCAACAATGTAGTGATTTATTTCCCCCCCACATACTGCATTCCAGTGTCACCTCAGAATGAAGCTATGCACATCAACCCATAATAATAATAATCCTTGCATTTGTCATAGCGCCTTATCATGTCATTGAGACGTCTCAAAGGGCTTCACCAATGTACTAGAAAGTGGATTGACTTCATTTTGTGGGCGAAACCTTCTAACCCAGAGAGACCAACCGAGCTGCCACTGTTGTTGGATCTTGGTTCGAGAAGGCTTTGAAGCTCAGGAATTGGACATCAATGCTTCAAAGCTTTGTATTGCTAGTCACTATCCCATCCACCTTCTTGTTGAATTGAAGGGGGAAATGCTCACCATGGATCCATGGTCTTGTCTTTTTCATCTGAAAGGAATTGAAACTCTCTTCCCCCGTTATTGCTCCCAGGTCGGGGAGGATTTGCGACAAGACATGTTAGCGCTGCAAATGATCAAGATCATGGACAAGATCTGGCTTCAGGAAGGGCTAGACCTGCGCATGGTCATTTTCAAATGCATCTCAACGGGGAAGGACCAAGGTAGGTCAGGGCTGAATGGTCAGGTCAGGGCTAGTCTGGCTGTGTGTGGTTCAGGGGTGATGCAGAAGGGCTGGCTCTTCAAAGGCCTCTGTAGGTTTTACACCTGTACAAAACCAAAACGTTGTGTAATTTGACACTTGCGCTGATTGATGGGAAGCTGAGAGCATTTAGTGACCTGCAGTCGCTGGAGGAACCTCTCGCATCTCATGTCAGGATCTCAGCAATTGTTCAGTCAGGTCTAGGTGCAAATCGCTGGCAGACAGCCAGCCCCCTTCTTGGCCTCGTCGCTGCAGTTACGCAGTTGAATACGTCTTCAAGAGAGTTTGATAGTGATTTTTTGGCTGAACAAAGACCACGTCATCCCCAAGACCAATGCCTCGTGTACATTGCCCATTTCAACCTGATGATAATACTATTGAAATACAACTCATGCGCAGACAAATCATCACGCTCAGCTTCAAATCAGGAGATCCGTGCGCAATGAAACGTTTGAGCTGAACACCGCGTGTAATGTGGCATTTCTGATTTTTCCCCACCTCACGCCCCCACTCCCAGGTATGGTGGAGCTGGTGCCCGCTTCAGAAACCCTGCGGAAGATCCAAGTGGAGTATGGAGTGACCGGCTCCTTCAAGGACAAGCCGCTGGCCGAATGGCTGAGGAAGTACAATGCTACAGAGGAGGAGTATGAAAAGGTACCGCCGACAGTACAGAGCCACTCGCTTATTCTTAACTGATTGCAAAACACAGTGATCTTCTCACTTGGACAATTGTTTTAAACCCCGTGCTATTATTAATGCCAACAGAAACTGACTGAAGTGGCTTATAGGTGCGATGTCAGTTGCAAACAAATATTGTTAGATTTATTACATAAAATCCCATCTCAGTGTAGCCTGACACTCCGAAACAGTGGCAGAGGAGAGCTGCATTGTTGGAGATCCCATCCTTTGAATGAGTTGTTAAACCAAGGTCTTGTCTATCTGTCCAGGTGCACATTAAAAATCCTGTAGGACTATTTAAAAAGAGAAGGGAATTTCTCCCGGTCAATATCCTGGCCAACAATCCCCCAAAATAAAATTGATCACTCACTCCATGGCTGTTTGTGGGACATTACTGTATGTAGATTGGTTGCCACATTCGCCCACAAAAACACAGTCACAGCACTTTATTGTATATCCTGTGAAGCATTTTGGGACATCCTCCTGACATGAAAGGCGCTGTACAAATGTAAGGACTGTTATTTTTAATATCATTGTTATTTATTATTGCATCCCGCCTGCAGGCATCTGAGAACTTCATCTACTCGTGTGCGGGCTGCTGTGTAGCCACCTACGTGCTGGGCATCTGCGACCGTCACAATGACAACATCATGTTGCGATCCACCGGCCACATGTTCCACATCGACTTTGGGAAATTCCTGGGTCACGCTCAGATGTTTGGGAGCTTCAAAAGGTGAGGTGGCTTCTCCTGCAAATTTTCCAAAAGAAATGGGGTGGAGAAAGTATTAGGCGCAGGTTGGCAAGAGCCAAAGCTTGGGGACCTCAGTGTGCGCATTAGAATACTGATGGAGTCCAACCAGCTAAAACCATTGTTTTAGCTCGCTATTGATATTGCTGTCTGGCAAGTTTTCCCGCTGCTTGTCCAGCGAGGACCATCCTACCATTGGGGCTTCAGCTTGCAGCGTTAACAGTTGTTGAGTGGGATGATTTATTTGACTTAAATATTGATTCCCATCTGCTGTTTTTATTGTGTTGCTGGTGACGCTTTTAATTGCTGCTGGATAGAACCATTGAAACTTACAGCACAGTCATTCAGCCCATCTGTTTAACCCCATTTTCCTGCATTTGCCCCCCTTAAACACTCTTTTATACCTCTCCTTTTCAGATAATTCTAATTCTCTCTTGTTTATGGGCTGTTAATGGTGTGGGTTGGTTGATGTGTTCTTCCCCTCCTCACCCCCGCCCTCCCCCCCTCGGGTGTGTTTTAACATAAACCGCTATAATTAGACGCCTGTATTTATTGCTGTGCTGTTCTGGGTACATGTATTCAGTGCATCGCCGCATCTCCATCGAGTGGCTGACTTGGGTATTGCAGCTATTGCTCCGAAGTTTTTTTTTACTGAGAATTCACAGGCAAATGCACATTTTTTTTGGAAAGGATGTATATTCTGAAAATCAAAATGAGATTACAGGAAATTATAATACTGTCTGGATCTTCCTCAGTTCCGCAAGACCTCCTGTGTAGTTAGCAAAACGTCACTTAAAATGTAATTATTGAATGCCTTTCTATTTCACGTTAAATAGAAAGGCATTCTGGAATTTCTGGTTAAATTCCAGCAGTTACCCCAACACACACCCCAAAGCTCTTGCCAACCTGCGCATAATACTCCCTGCAATTAGGTAAGCAAGGTGCATTCCTCCTGGGGGGGTGGGGGAGAGAGTGTGTGCATTGTATTCCTGATGTGGGAATTTCCATGTATAGTATAGTAGCATACCTGAAATGGTTTTGGTATTGCGATATGAACGGTGATGAGTGAGAGAAGCTGTGGTTGGGTGAGTGGGGACTTTAATTGTTAAACATTTCTCTCCCTCTTCTTCCCACCCCCACCCCCCCCACACTACTTCCACTCTCTACCACAGGGATCGGGCTCCGTTTGTCCTGACGTCAGACATGGCTTACGTGATTAACGGTGGCGAGAAGCCCACCAGTCGTTTCCAGCTGTTCGTGGATCTCTGCTGCCAGTCGTACAACCTGATCCGGAAACACGCCAGCCACTTCCTGAATCTCCTGTCGCTGGTAATAATAATCGTTGTATTTGGATATGGCACCTTATCACGTCTCAAAGCGCTTCACAGAATATACCATAAAATAAGTTGACTGTATATTTTATGGGAGGTTGGTAACCTGTGTTCATCTACAAATACAGTGACAGTATTTGGTAATGATTTTAAGGACAAAAAGAAATGAAATCAGCTATGTCTGTCCGTGTGTCTGTCAGATGCTGTCCTCTGGGTTACCGGAGCTCACCATTCAGGATCTGAAGTACGTTCAGGATGCTCTCCAAACACAAACAACAGACGCAGAAGCCACCATCTTTTTCACCAGGTACGTCACTTTGCGCCCAAGGGAGAAGGAGGTTGGGAGGGCAGTGGGGGAAGGTGTTAGAAATGGCACAAAGGGTCCTTTTGATGGACGCTTGTGTGAAACGAGCAGATCAGTGTCAAGGTAAGAGGGCTGGGTTAAATTGGCTTTGTCGCCGGTGAAGGTTATGGGTTGGCTGCTGTGTTGCAGGTTGATTGAGTCCAGCTTGGGCAGCATGGCCACCAAGTTCAACTTCCTCATTCACAACTTGGCTCAGCTGCGCTTTTCGGGGCTGCCGTCCACAGAGCAGGCTATCCTCTCCTTCTCGCCCAAGACCTATTCCCTGAAGCAAGACAGCCGCATCAAAGAGGTGACCATCTTCACGTACCAGAAGAGGTACAACCCCGACAAATACTACGTAAGTTGCATCAGCCAGCCCTGCCGGGCGGGAGAAAGCACCCACTGCCCACCATTTCCACCGTTGGCACAAAGAGCTCAATTGAAGGTATTGGGGCAGCTTTTTAAACCTGAAGATGTTCATCCTATTCATCTAAGTGGCAAGGAAAAAGTGTGCCTATGAGATAGAAAAGCATATATCTGAAGGACGTATGTCAGATAGCACTGCATTGCACTGTCAAGGTACACTTAAGTCTCAACGTGGGGCTTGAACCCACTACCTTCTGATTCAGGCTTGAGAACGCTACCAACTGAGTTTGGCAAACAATGGGCAAATATCACGATGACTTTGTAAAGCAGGCTTCTCCTCAAAGACCTTGTTAATGGCGTTCGTTTCTATTTGTCAGATCTACGTGGTGCGAGTTTTACGTGACGGGCAGATGGATTCCACGTTTATCTTCAGGACCTTTGATGAGTTTCAGGAGCTGCACAACAAGCTGGGCCTCCTCTTCCCCCTGTGGAAACTGCCAGGGTAGGTCAGTCTCTCGTCATGGCTCTCACAGCTTTTGATTGTATGTTTTCATTAAAAAAACGTTGTCGTCTTCAAATCCGTAAAATAAAATTATAATCCTTGCCATTGATGTCACGCATTTTGCATCGGGATGATGTCTCTAAGTGTTTTGCAGGATTCATTGTGAAACTGTAGTGACTGTAGGTGAATGCAACCAAGGCTGATGCATTTTCTATTGTCGATATGGGGAAGGGGAGCAGTGGGAATAATTCATGGGAGGAAAGACAAAAGGTCTTTTAACCTCTAAGGGTATAAGGTCATTAAGGAGAAAGCTCTAATGTAGATTCTGGAGAGGAAGGAAAACTTCCTATGAATACTTCAAAACAACTGAAGTTTGATTCCTTAGGACGAGTCCAGTTGCTGAAACAGGTGGGTTAAAGTGAGGGACAGAGGAATGATTATAAAATAGCCAGTGGTAGACCTTAGAGGGAGTTTCAGAGGAATTTCTTTAGATACACGTTGGTACATAGGGATTTAGGAGGGGTGGAGGCTTGGGTGGCGTATGAACACCAGCGTGGATTAGCTGGGCCGAAGGACCTGTGTCTATGCTGTTTTGATCTTAGTAAAGATGCTGAAGCCTCCAATATCTTTTCAGCTTCCCCAACAAAGTGGTGCTGGGACGCACTCACATTAAAGACGTGGCAGCCAAACGGAAGGTGGAGCTCAACAACTACGTGCAGTGTCTGATGAGCAGCTCCCCCGAGGTGGCTGAGGTAAGAATGTAAGTTAGGAATAAGCAAAGGTCAATCCAGATTTGAGCCGGTCCAGATTCCAAATGTGCACTGTCCCAAACCTGAACTCTGAGCTCCGGTTCCCCCCAAAGTGACCTACTACTACTACTAATAATAATCCTTGCAGTTGGTATCGGTGCCTTATCTCATCTGAAGGACGCCTCAAAGTGCTTCGCAGGAATTGCTGTAAAGTGTAGTGACTGTATTTGTAGGCAAACGCTGCAGCACAGACAGCCATGAAATGAGTGAGACAGTGTTATTTTGGGGATTGTTTGCCAGGACATCAGGAGTAACTCTTTTCGAATAGAACAACCTGCATTTATATAGCGTCCCTCATCCAGTGTAGCGTCGCAGAGTGATTGCAGTAGAAGCTGTTACGTCCACCTGAACAGGTAGACGACACCTCAGTTTAACATCTCACCCGAAGGACTTGTACCGAATCCTAATGTCACCTGGTTCTACTGGATTGTCTGCTCCTTCCTGGCAACAGATGTGTTGCCCTTGGCCCTGGGTTTTCTAGTTTCTTAAACATTAACCAGACTTGGAATAAAACTGCAGCAAAATTGTGTTTCTGTATCGTGACCGCTGTTGAAAGACCGCAATGATTTAATCCCACTGTTTTTCATAGAAAGCTATAAGCTCTTCAGCATTTGAATCTGCTCAAATTTTATATTGCAAAATTGAATTGGAGGTATAAACTATTGTTATAATAATTATTAAAAATAAATGAATGACAGACTGGATCGATTGTGAATTGTTTTAAAGCTAAAAACTGGATTTTCTTTGCCCTTTCCAGTGTGACCTTGTCTACACCTTTTTCCATCCTCTGGCGCGGGATGAGAAGGCAGAAGGAATTGATGGAATGGTGAAACTCAGAGGTAAGATAACCCCCAATGCAATTTATATTTAAACAATGGCTTTCACATTGGGCAGATGACCAAAAGCTTAGTCACATAGAGGCAAGCAGGCTTCAAAAGTGATGGTGTGGAGGTGAGAAAGTCGGCGGAGCTCGGGATGGAGTTCCAGAGAGAGGAGCAGAATGGCTGAAAATTTGCCGGCGAATGCTGGAGTGGGAGACACGGAGCAGGCTGGAGGGAGAGGCCGGGGAAACCAAAGTCACTTCTTTAACAGGAGTCGTTGAGGTTTATTGTGGGGCTTGTATGAAGGCTTTTACATTCAGGAATTGCAGGTGCCTGTAATTGCCATCGATGGCAAAGAATTACAGCCATCAGCAAAAAAGCCATAGACCGAACCCACTTAACCAACATTTTTACACCTTACGAGCGATAAACAGATTATCTCAATCTAACAAATTCAACAGACTATCTGGCTCTGATCCCTTCCATTAACTCAAATATTCACCCCATTAACCCTTTAATACCTCACAATATGATTCTAAAAAGACCAAATTTTAGATTTGAGATTGATGTGGGAACTCACTTGTTCATTGTGTCTAATGCACCTTTTATTTGGTGGGGGAGGGGGGTGGTGGGAAGGGTGTATCTGTGTGTGATGTTTTAATTAAAACACAATTCTCCTTTTTGTAGACGTTCCCCCGAGCCCTGGGGCGGGTCAGGTGGGAGGGGAAGTCAAGCTCTCCATTTCGTATCGAAACAATACACTCTTCATCATGGTGATGCACATCCGAGATCTGGTATGTAGTCGCTTGGTTCGGCCGTGCGGAAGCCTGTCCCTCGCTCGGCAGTAACTCCCTCTGAGCAATTTTATCCCTGCTCAAGGAGAGGTGTATCTGGCCCCATCCTCCTCGCTGCTTGCACTCGCTTTCTGCAGTCGCGCTTTGACATATGTCACCACTCTTCAATTTACTTCAACTAGCTTCTCACACTAACTCTGAGAGCCAACATCAACGGAACTTGTCTCGAGCAACACTAATGTTTCAATGTTAATGCAATTTTTTAAATCTTTAACCTTCAGTGGCACCCTTTCCCTTTAAGAATGCATTGTGCATTAAGGAAAAAAAGTTTTTTTTAAAAAGATTAGCCTGACCTAGTTTTTGTGGAAACATTTAAACTTGGGATGTTTCCCACCAGGATTTAACCCACTTTCAGATTTGCCAGATCAGCCCTAGAGACAGCTAAAGCTGCTCCAACGAAACACTGTCCTGTACGATTTATATAATTGTACAGACAACCTCTTGACTAGCAGGTACACGTTACTTAAGATTTATAGGTAGTGCTTTAACTGAGTGAATACAATACTATACAAAATTACATTACATGCAATGCGATGCCTGACTGAGGCAAACACAGAAGCTAATCTGCACCGATAATCTGCAAAAATAAATGAAATCTAGAAATTGCAGCAAAGGAGGAAACTATTTGACCCATCCAGCCTGAGCTGGTGAAAGAAATTGGATGATGGAGAAATGTTAACTCGGAATGTGGATCAAGTGGCAGTTCACTTGACTCAGGGTCAAATTGTTGTGGGTTCAAGTCTTGGGGGGGCACTTTGAGCTTACCATCTCGGATGACAGTGCAGTACAAAGTTTGGCAGGAAAGCTGCATTGTTGCAAGTGCCGTCCTTCAGAGGAGACATTAAACTGGAGTCCCGTCTGCCTGTCCAGATGGACATTAAAGATCCCATTGCACATTTAAAAAAAGCAAAGGGAGTTTCTCATGGTGTCCAGGCTAGCAATCCTCTGAAATAAATTGGTCACTCACTTCATGTCTGGCTGTGGTACATCGCTTTGCAAATATTGTTTGCCTACAGTCTCTACAGACTGTAAAGCACTTTGACATTCTAAGCACTATGTAAGATGCAAGGGTCATTATTTTTGTGGAAGCATTGTTGCTTTGCCTGATCTTTTCTCATTGTTCTGTGCCTGTACACCTCAACTTAGAGGATTCTTTGAGTGAAAGTGAAGGCCATTGCTCTGACCATTGCTCTGTGCTGAAACTAGGTGACGGAGGATGGAGCAGATCCAAGCCCATATGTAAAGACCTATTTACTCCCTGATCCACACAAAGTAACCAAGCACAAGACCAAGGTCTCACGGAAAACCAGAAACCCAACTTACAATGAAATGGTGAGTCTCACCCCTGCACTAACTTTTTAAATACCCCACCACCTTAAAACCTACCACTTTGACCTATGCTCACCTCTTCCTTGAATGACATCCCACCCTGTAGTGTAAAGTACTCTGATACTACCCTACCTGAAGTGCCCTATGTATTTGCAAGTTGCACCGAGTCCAGCCCTGTCAGCGTGAAGCGCTCCGAGACTCTTAAACTGCCAGAAGAGCCCCAAATAAATGCAAGTTGTTAACTTAATTTCTATGATTCTGATCACTATAAACCCCCCAGTTTTCAGGTCGCTGTGTTTAACTGTTGCACGGAATGGATGAGCTCTTCACGTTTTCCAGCAGTGAATTTGAAATGTGTTTCTTTCTCTCTCTCTCTCTCTCACGCGCGTGCACACACACAGCTGGTGTACAGCAGTTACAGTAAAGAAACTCTTCAGCAGAGGGAGTTACAGCTCAGCGTTCTGAGTGCGGAATCCTTGCGAGAAAACGTTTACCTCGGCTGCGTTACATTGGACCTGAAAGATTTTGACTTGAGCAAGGAGACCGTCAACTGGTACAAACTGACTGCTGCCCCTGTACTGTAGCCCTCACCCCACCCACCCACATTCTTCCCTTCTCTACTGAACCCCTCCTTTTCTCCTGCCCCTTTTCCCAACCCCCCCCTCCCACCCGCCATTACCACAAAAAAGCGAGAAGTGGATCAATCGCAACAAGAGCTCCATCTCTCATTCACATACATCTTTTACTTGAAAAAGGAGAAGTTTTAACTGTGGACAAAACTGCGGGCTGAAGCAGATGCATATTAACTAACTCACGGACCAATCTAGTTTGTTGTTAAATTTAAAAACAAAGCGCTGACACGTGCACTTGCTGCCACCTTCATTTTTTTTAAAAAAAGTAATAAAATCTCTATTTTTTTGATGATTATTGGTAGCAGGACATGCCAAATCACAGTAGATACTAATGAACTCTATTGCTTCAAACTGGCTTCCTCCTCAAGAGAACCAGAGGGTCTCCCTCACATTGCTGGGGTTAAGGTCACTGGACTTGGCTAGGGATGCAAAGCTTTTCCTTGCAATTGGCGTAAAATCAGACTAGCCGCAACAGTCTTCCTTTATCAAATGCCCAAATTCCACATAAGAGAGCTGCCAATGGAAGCAGTTGTATCCCTTGTTTGTTGTTGTTGTGCACTGTAGGTAAAAGTGGAACCTGGCTTCCTGTTCTTGGAAATTAATTTTGAGATGTGCGAGGAAGCTATTTATTTCTAAAATTAACGCTTGTTGCACAACCCTTTTAAAAGCGGCCAAACACAGTCATTGGTAGAGGAGCTGAGAGTGATGCTAAAACAGAAGGATACATCTCTTACCAGTTCAACTTGACCTGCCGCTTTCGGGTATTGAAGGCCCAAGTGAATAGTCGCCATTCCCGTTGACAAAACACAAGTGTCGGCACTCTTGACTCGCGGTCAAATCATTGTGGGGTCAAACCCCAAGTCGGGCACTTTGAACTTGCCTTCCAGGTTGACAGTGCAATACAATGCAGTACTTCAGACAAGATGTTACGCCGAGGTTCAGGTCAAACACAGAAACACATGGGGGCAGGGGCTGAAAAATAACACTAATGGCATTCAGTGTGTGTGTGTATATAATATATGTAGAGTGCAATCCCTTCTGAGCAGTGACATTGCCTATCATGCTTAACGGTAACCTGTAGATGGTAAACATACAGATTCAGGTATATCACCCTTTACTAAATCTATACGTTGGTGACTTTCCAGTGATGGGTTCACTATTTAGTGTTTTAAAACCTAAAACTTTGCAAATTTGGTAGAACTTTTGCTTTTGTTTTTTTTCCTTCAAGTCTTATTCTGGTAAAACAGCACCAACTCTGTCAAGTGTCAAATAAAACATTTTTTAAGGCTCAAAGTTTCTGGTATGAAAGCCACAAAGAAATGAGTGTGTAGAAGTCCTGCCAGTGACTGCAAGCTCCTATAATATATGTTCTGAAGAGGCAGCGAGTGACTGGCAGATCCCAAGTCATTGTTGCACATCACCATTGGTTGAGGGACAGCTTTTAAGAATGAGGATTATTGAGTCATACATTTAGCAGCGGCACTCCTAACTATTCATGTAAATGTGTGGGCTTCAGAATGCGTCTGTATGTGGCACAAGCTGACAATGTAATACTTTGCTGTGTAAGCTTGTTTTGAGCAAATTATCTGTTCGCAGTGCCTCCCTTCAATGGTCCTGACTTCTAAATCTTCTCTGATCCCCTTCTATCCAAACAAGGAGAGTTCACATTGATTGCATATGTCTTGTGGTAGATTTTGAGGTGCTTTAAATAGACCATCCCCTTTTGCATGAGGTTTTGCCCAGGGCTGTCATACAGTCATCCAAAACATACCTTTCAACACGTTTCACTTATGTTTAAACCCACTGATGTTTAAAATTGTGCGCGTGTGTATGAATAGGTTTACAATTTAGTTTGAAGCATAGAACCTTAAAGCCAAGGCTAAGCTGGAGTGGTGAATGCTGACTGGTGTAATGGGCTGAAAGTTGGCTGAAAGAAAAGGAAAGAGGAAATCCTGTCCCTGTAAAAGAGATCACAGTTCTGACACATTCACCTTCCCTTGTTGAATCTTTCCATCTGTCTTTGTGTACAAAGCTCCTATTGATCACCATTCACATTAGCATTGGACACAATCAAATGTTGCTGCTCTTGGTTTTTTTAATGTAAATATAATGTTCAGTCTTGTGTATTTTTTTTGAACAAAAACCTGTGCTTACACCTTCACCATGGGGGGAGAAGTTCAATGTTTGGAAGAAGTTTTCTGGTGGATAGGAGCAAGCATTGATTTTTTTTTGGAGTGGGGGGAGGAGGCTGAGAGAGAGGAGAAAATGTTCTGTGGAACGCTTTCAGTATTTGAAAGGTGCAATTAGAGACTCTCGTTACTATAGTGACTGAATGCAGCTGACGTCAGAATTTGACGACAGAAAGATTGCAATTTGGCCTTAAAACGTGTGACCGATTACCTTTTTGTATTCCATCTTGCTATCATTCACAATGGAAATGAGGTTTATAAAGTCAGTTTGCAGAATCTACCATACAATTACAAATCAAACAAGTATTTTAATGAAAATAAAACCTATCTTTGTAATCTGTTGTATGCCTGTACTGTTTTATATATTGTCATTTGACACTGTGAGTGTATTAAGTGTAAAAGGCAAAGCAGAAGCACACTGGGGAGCAAAAACGTTGCCTTGAATGATCTGCGTTACCTGTAGCTCTAAGAACCACAAGTATGTTCGACCCATATGTATCTTTTTACTTTGAAGATGTACAGTATTTCTATCTAAATCCTGTCCGCATTCTAATGGACTAAATGTGACTCCATAAGTATATGTCAAGATGTAACTTGTTTTTAATAAAGACCATTTCAAAATCACAAACGGCTTTGATTCTGTGGCTGCAGTTGTCTGATTATGAAACTGCTGATTATTTTTGGAAGGGACTTTCTTGCTGAGAGCAGCCGAAAGGTCGCTTTTCCAGCGGTAATAATCCCTTCAACAAAAAAATTAACAATCATAATAAATTGGTCACTTCAATCCGCAGACTGTTTGTGGGACGACGCTGCTGTGGGCAATTGGCTGCTGCGTTTCGCCCACAAAATATACGGCCAATTCACTTTACGGTATATTCTGTGAAACGCTTTGAGGCGTCACTATGCGGCGCTGAGTCAAATCCTATTATTATTAATTAGGAACCCGCCCAAAGCTGCTGTTTACACGCCCGGCACAGCAAAAAAAACCGCACAATTGGGCGTGAAGACGCCCAATCCGCGCGTCACCACGTCCGGCACTTAAAACAAAGGAAAAAAAAATCGGTCACCTCGTGACGTCGCCGCGCCGCTCAGCTACAAAGCTGTCAGTCACAGCGACAACCCGCCCCGCTGCCGATACGTCATCGCGCACGCACGCACGCACGGGATGGAGAGGGTGGGGGGGAGGGAGGAGTCGCGCCGCGCGTGACGTCACCGCGCCGGTCAGCTACAAAGCTGTCAGTCACAGCGACAACCCGCCCCGCTGCCGACACGTCATTGCGCACACACGCACGCACGGGATGGAGAGGGAGCGGGGGAGGGAGGAGTCGCGCCGCGCGTGACGTCACCGCGCCGGTCAGCTACAAAGCTGTCAGTCACAGCGACAACCCGCCCCGCTGCCGACACGTCATCGCGCACGCACGCACGGGAGGGATGGAGAGGGCGGGAGGGAGAGAGAGGGGGAGGAGTCACGTCGCGCGTGACGTCACCGCGCCGCTCAGCTACATGGCCACCAAGCGCAGCCGCAACCCTCGCCGGGCGCGGTGGCGCGCGCCTGTTATCCGGCTGCTCGGAGGCTGAGGCTGGTGGATCGCTTGAGGCCAGGAGTTCTGGCTGCAGCGGCCTGTGCCGATCGGGCGTCCGCGCTAAGCTCGGCGTCTATATGGTGTCTCGGGGGAGCCCGGGGGCACCAGGTCACGCTAAGGAGGGTGAACCGGCCCAGGTCGGGAACGGAGCAGGTCAAAGCCTTCGCGCCGATCA